TAGACTAGCAAACAACCGATACAAGGTTGTCTTGTTAAATGCTAGTAACTAGTTTTCTGCTCGCAAACATATGTCCTGACTTCCTTTTGGCCTAACACACACCCCTTTCATGTTGGTACAGTCTGATTGTTGCCAGTCAAGATGATGTCACGAAAACAGACAACTTACAGGACAAGTGAGATTTTGTTTTTGTGAATTCAAAAAGAAGAAACTCTATTGTATTATTTTGTACACAGAATTCGCTTTCGTAAAATCTTATAGAATCATTTAGTGTGTATGTCATGATCAGTACTTAGTATAGGTATTAATAACTTGATAACTATACAGAATTCGAAGTTTCAAATTTGATCTGCTGGCAATCTCGTAATGCGAAATTTGAAGTATTGTCCACTTTTCTTTCTTCACCGATTGAGACACACAATGTATTCGGAATAAATTTTCCAGGTTTGATTTTATTCGGTCAATTCGCTTGAATATAGATTGACACACCCAAAAAACACTTAAAAATATTAGGTGTGGTCATAAAATAGGACATCAAGCAATGGTTGGAAATTCTTACTATGTTTTTTTTTTAGTTCAACGGTAGTCTAAACTTATTCAACATCTGTTTCATAAGATTTTAAAAAGGATCCCTAAGGTTTTAGACAAATGTAAAGGTGGAAAAACCGGCTATTGGCCATTGGCCTGTAAATTTCTTGTATGCAATGAGACCAGTCTATTTGGTATAAGCGAAAAGGGGTGGCTGAAACTTTTAAAAATACACCATGGCTCTCAGCAAAGTCTTCAAATACAGCAAAGAAACGCACTTCGGGAAACATGCGACGTATTGTAGGTTGGGTACGTTTTTAAGGTCTGAATCGTTGTCTGTGTACGTTTTTTAACAGAAGGATAGTGTTGCACACCCCCTAAAAGTGGTACGGCCATAATTACACCTGTCAAAACGCTATTACGACAACAGGTCTCTCCAATTAAGATCCAGTCGTCGAGTCGACAACGTACGAGAGGGACATCCGTAAATTGTTCAATTTTCTGAGACTTCTATTCCCGAAGCACTAAGAAGACAGAAGGATGGCTAGTTCATCGATGTTCCTTGGAGTACTTCTTATGGCAGGTAAGTTATCAGGTGCCAATTTCTTGCAACGATCTAAGATAGAACGTTTCTTCGCAGTAGCCTCCATAGCATGCCAAAAACTGTGGGTTTGGGGGGTCTTCAGGGTCTTTGGGAGCTTTTATGTGCTATTTTCTGATTGCATATAGACAACATAGCCGGCCTGGTTGAATTACCCCCGTTTTTTAACTGGGCTAATCAGAAAACAGCCGAAGA